ATGGGCATGAGAATGTGGGGGTCCTTCTACTAAACCGGGGGGATGTATCATGGACAACAGTGTCTATGGGTAGCTGCAGTACAGTTTGAAGTGTTCTGGAAGCCACTTTCCTAGAGTGCCGTCTAGGTATGGTGTTCTGTACATCTGCTGTGTATAGGTGGATGTGCAGGAGTGGGCCTTCAGGCCTCTCCTAGCCATGCTTATCTGGTTTTTATCTCTTACATTCTTTGAGCTAAAGAATTTGCTGAAGTGTGAACAGGAGTGGGGTGTGTCCAGCAATCTGCCCTGGCCTGTTAGCTGGCTTTGCTGGACTCATTTCACTGTCATTGTCCCAGGGCCACATTGAGTCATGATGAGGACACTGGCCCAGATAGTATGGCACTATTTGTTGGGTGTTCCAGAAAAAGGGGGAGTGTGGAGACTCCTGCTTCCCAAAGCAGTGTGTTCAAGCACAGCCTCTTCATGACGGCCTCCTGTCACAACATTTTAACATTGAGAATCGAAGAACACCACTCAGCTCCCACATCAGCTGAGGCCATGCTGCCCTTTGCTCTGACTCTGCTTTTATACCAGCCCCCCCTCCCCCATGCTGTCTCTCTCCTGGTTCTTGCCCCTTATTGCCTTCTCCACCACACCCCTCCACCTCCACTGCCTCAGCGCTAATGTGCTTATTCTCACCTGTTCCTCCCAGCCTTGTCTGTCCAATATTAAACTTGGGAGTGTCTCTCCCGCCACCCACTTTGCTGAGATGCTGTTCACAAGCTGCTGGGAGCCAGGAAGAGCTGCTAGTTTCTAATCCACCCATCAACTTGGCTCCATCATCAGCTTTGAAGTCAGGTTTAGGGATTTTATTATCAACTGGCCACTGACCAAAATGACAGACGTTAGACAAGTTCAATCTCTTCTCTGTTTAATCAGTGACAGAAAAAGATGTAAGAGAAACCTTCAATGATCAGGCAATCCACTTCCACATCACTTTTCTTCAAATTTGAAACAAGGTCTCATTTTGTAGCCAATGCTGGTCCTAGAGTTTTTGCCCTCCTGTCCTGCCTCCCAAGTGTTTACAAATGTGGGCCACAATTCCAATCTCCCCTAGTTTTACTTAAACTGTATCAAGCCACGGTAATGGGAAAATTTCTAAATTCATTACATAAAGCTAGAACCATTTAAGTTCCTAAATTTATAAAAAAGTTATACCAACCTCATTTATCAGTATAAAATCATAGAGGAATTGATATAAAACGTATTTAAAAATCACAGCAGACGGTATTCAAAATCACATTTTTAAAAATATTTATTTTAATTATATGCGCATGGGTGTTTGCTTACATGTATATATGTTCACCACATGTGTGCAGTGCCTGTGGAAGCCAGAAGAGGGCCTCACATCCCCCTGGAACTGGGGTTATAGGTGGTTGTGATCTGCCAGATGGGTGTTAGGAACTGAACCCTGATCCTCTGTAAAAGCAGCAGCAAGTGCTTTTAACAGCTGAGCCATCCTTCTAGCCCCCACATTTGTGTTTTTAAAAGTATATCATGAGTTAGAAAAACTTATTCCAGAAAGATAGAGCATTATGAAACCTACTTTATAAACCACCCTATTAGTAAAACTAAGGAAAACATCATCTCCATAAATGCGGAAGTAGCACTTGATAAAATTCAAGACATATGTATTTTATTTTATTTTTTATTCAACAAATACGTATCAAGCACCTGTTCTTTTACAGTACCGAGGCTGCAAGAGTGAGACAAACGCTGGCTCCATTCCAGTCCTCACACCAACCAAGGGAAGCAGTCAGAAAATACGCGAGTAAGGGGACAGGCGCTTTTACCCAGAGCGTTATTTACGTGAAACTCAATGCGTATTGATCACACCAGTATAGTTAGCACACCTCTGCCAGAGACTCGCTTCTTGAGTAGAAAGACACTAAAGGTTTTCTCTTAGAAGCCAGAAGCAAGCTAACAGGCTCACTTTGTCTGCGCCCTTTATTATTTTAGGAGGTGGGGGCAGAGTCTCGTGCCGTGCCTCAGGCTGGCCTTAACTCATTATGTAATGCAAACTTGTGGTGATCCTCCTGCCTCAGTCTCCCGAGTCCTGGGATTCCCAGCTTGCCACATTTAATGTCCAGTTAAGGAAGAAGTTAGCAAGATAGGAAAGCAGAACTTAAGTCGGGCATTAAGGACAGAGATAAGATCGTTGCTGTTTGCAGAGTACAGGACGATGAACTGTAGCCGGTTTTCATTGTTTATGAAACCTCAGCAGCTCATAAAAGCTGCAATGAGAATCCCCAGAGAAGCGAGGAGCAGACCTATCACAAACAATAGGAAATTTAGTCAAGTGGCTGGTTTTAAAATCAATCAAATCACCTGCTGGGCCAGAGAGACAGCTCGGTGGGTAAAGGTGCTTGCCACCAAACCTGATGACCTGAGTTCCAGCCCTGGGTCCACATGGTGGAAGGAGAGAGCCAACTCCCTCAAGCTGATCTGTGACTTCCACACATGTGCTGTGGTACACTTCCACCCAAAAATATAGTTACACATGCTACTATCTTTGACTTTTCACTGGGTCTGGGGACCCAAACTCAGGTCCTCATGCCTGTGTGGCAAATGCTTTGCTCACTGAGCCATCTCCCCAGCCCATAATACTCCAGAAAGAAGCAAATATAGACTTGAAGAAATGATTAGAAATGCAATGTTATTTAGGAAGATACAACATTATATAGACATCTGCTTTCCTTAATGCGTAAGCTTTATGCAACGACAATAATGGTTTTGTAAAGGCTTTCCTGGTAACATAAGGTGGACTATGACTACCCCTTCATTCACAGTACTACTTGTGGTGGTTTGTAGGGCATGGAGTTGCCAGGCCCAGGAACAGGTTGCTGAGGAGCTACTTGGGAGAAGATGGCTTTGCTTTGGGCTTATACATGTTGTATCATCGTTCCTGTCTCCACGCCACTGCTCTGAACCCTGACCCAGATAGTCCCCCAGGGTCCAGCATTCAGGAGGCTCATTTGTTTCCTTGTGTCAGTAAACTCAGCCTTGCTGAGTGTTGTGGTTCTGTTAGTTTGCCCACCTTTGTGTGACATGGGTCCTCCACTGGTCCCCACTGGGTCTTTTCACTCATGGGAGACGTCATTTGAGTGGCCTGGATTCATTTCTGTTGCTATGTAAAACACCCTACCTAAAGCAAATTAGGAGGAAAGGGATTTATTTGATTTACAATTCCAGATTATAGCACAGTGGTGATAGGAAATAGAGGCCGGAACTTGAGCAGCTAGTCACGTCATATCCCCAGTCAAGAGCAAAGAGAGAAAGGACACACACACACACACACACACACACACACACACACACACACACCCTCGCTTGTTTGCTGCTTATGCTCAGCTAGCTTTCTTTGCTCCTATGTCATTTGGAATCCCCTTTGTAAAGAATGACTTTACCCACAATGGGCTTTCCTTGTCAATTAACCATCAGGACAACCCCCACACACATGCCCACAGGCCAAATGAGCTGGTGCATTCCTCAAATTCCTCAAGTGAGACTCTCTTCCCAGTCATTCTAGGCATGGCAAGATGACATTTTAAACTGTCACAGGGAGGACTGCCTTCCGGTTTTCCCGGTTCACCTCTGTAGTTGTTTCCCTCTCCTGACCACACAAGGATGCTAGACAAGAACGCCAAGGTGGGAAAGACCAGGCCACCTGCTTCCAGTGCAGTGCTCTGGGATGATTTTGGTGGGGAGGGGTGGCGGGGGAGGTCCACATTTGTTGTTTTCTTTTAGCAGACAGTGCAGAGTTCCAGCTTCTCTCCACCTTGTAGTTTTCATTTCAAACTGGTCATTTACGATGAGTTGTAGAGTATTCATTCTGTTATGAGAGCCACGGTGTGTTCCCGGCCTTTCCCCTTCAATTCTTCTCACTGGGACCTTCTTCCTCTCCCTGAGCCCCCTGTATACTCAGTGTGTGACCTCCCCTCCCTCATCCTCTCATCCTGGTGCACTCTCCCTCCATGCTCCCTGCCTGAAAATTTTTCCATTATTCAGTGCCATGTTCAAAGATTCTCTTAAAAAAATAATTTGCCTTGTTTCCAGCTGAATTTGAAATGCTGGCATTTATCAAGGCAAATCGCCCTTTGATTTCTCAGTAATGTGTATTTCTTCTGAAGCTCCCTGTTCGACTGAATTTTAATGCAGACATCCTGTGGCACCTGGGTAGTTTCCGAATAGTTTGCTTATTGCACTGTACAGAGCCGACATCAAAAAGATCCCTGAGATCGGATTAGGAAACCAAAGGGGCTTAACTTAGCCAGTGAACTAGACTCACTCTCAATTGTCTATGAGATCTCAGCCTTTGGGAACTATAACTGTACACTGCATGACATGTTTTTTCTGGGGACCATATAAGCACATAAAGATGAGGCCGAGCATGGGACCACACCCTGAAAGTGTCCTTTTTAATACTTGGAACTAAACTGGTCCAAACTGCACATAAAGAAGACCCATGATTAGCAATGTATTTTTAATTTTTTTAGTTTTATTTTTAATTACATGTCTGTATGTGTTGGGTGTTGGAGTGTGTCCATATGAGTACAGTTGCTGGAAGAGGTCCGAAGAGAATGTCAGATCCCTTGGGGCTGGAGTCACAGGTGGACTGCCTCACATAGGTGCTGGGTACTCCACTTGGGGTCCTCTGCAAAACCAGTGTGTGCTCTTAATCTCTCAGCCCCAATAACGTATTTTTAAAATCTAAGTCCCCAAAGTAATAGTTGTTTACATTTACAAGCGCGTGTATGTGCATTCGCCCATGCGTTTGCATGCACATGTGTGTGCACGTGCCGCGTGAGGTTAGAAGACCCAGCATTGCTGACTGTCCCACCTTACTACCTGCTTCACCTTTTGGTGAGAATGAAACTAACAAGACAGGAGCCGTTTGCAAGTGTCTGTACCTTCTGTCCCTATGAATTATTCTTCAAAACCACGTCTCTTTTCTCTTCCAGGAAACTAGAGGCTTTGAAGTCACAAGAAGAGAAGGTAGGAAAAATTTACTTACATCGATATCATTCTTGGCGCTGACATTTTGGAAGAGGCTTGGAACTGAAACTAAGATGAACTTAGACCACGGGCAGCCTGCTCTTTGAAGTACCGTGTGGTCTTTCCTGCATGCTAGCTCTTTGCCTCTTGCTTCCAGAGAGCCAAGAACTTCAGGCTGGGTTTGCCTGTGAGAGCAGGGTTTCTGCTTTTAAGTATCAATGGTGGCTCCTGGGAACTAGCTCACTAACCACCACATCTGTGGTCTCTGAAGAAGACCCTCAGTGTCGGGTGACATTTGAAGTCATTTGGTTTCACCCAGAAGAAAACATCAGTAATACACACACACACACACACACACACACACACTCACACACACACACTCACACTGGTTTATGGTTTGGGGGGTTTCACTGTTGGGCAGGCAAAGCCTCTCTGAAAAATGATTCTGATTAGATTTTTACAGCTTCATCTAAGCCAGAATAAAAATAACCAATTAATTTCCCCTTTGAAAACAATTCCGTGATGTTCCATTTTCTCTGCCAGCCTTCCTCTGGCACATTTGTTTTCTGGTCTCAGAGGTAAGCATGTACGGATGGCAATTTCAGAATCTTCTAATGGAAATTTCTCTTATTTACTTTCAGTAACAGCTAGTCTCTAACGAGAGAATGTCTTTTGTGTGATTTGTGGAATCATCTCTTTATTGTAGGGATGGGGAGTGAATCAAGTCAGAAATCGTAGTGTATTCTCAGCCTAGTGCTTAGGCTTTGGTTTTAGCCTTAGTCACGTCCTCCTCTGTGGAATTGTCTCCTAAAAGAGTAATGATGGGATCGAAAGACATCCTTGGCTCCTAAATCCAATGTATCTTTTCCTCCTTGTTAGTTAGCACTTATGCTATACGTTGCAATGAGAAGCTTGGATAACTGTGATACCAGCATTTAAGAGCTTGATAACACACTGGCAGTACTGTCCATACCTGTCACCCAAGTGGCTGCCATCACGCTTCTGAAACCAGAAATTCAAAAGAGCTGAGTAATCTGATTCCAGCAGGAACTTTCTGGCTTCCACGGACTCAGTGTGCAGTAGCCCCTGGACTGTTTCAATGGGCCAAACCATGTTCCTTGGATATTGATACTGAATTAAATTGAATAAAGGTAGATGGGGCGGTGTTCATTTTTGAAAATTATGTTCCCAGTGGGACCAGTGACTGTGAGCTGGAGAAAAGGAAGGAAGGTAGAAGTTGGCATGCACTGTGTGTTTTTGAATAAGTTATCCGTGTGAGTATCCCTGGCTGAAAATGTCTGAAGTAGATTTACATGAAGGAATCACATATAAACTTCTTGTAATCTTATTGTTGGTGTGTTGAAATCGTCTTTGACTAGGCTGGAGTTATGGGACAGCCCTGTGTATTTCTTTCCAAAGACAAAAGAGTCCTCACTGAGCTTCCAAGGCTTCAAATCCCCCAAAGGATGATGGTGAGCACACCAGAAAGGGCACAGGAAGGGCAGGCTAGGCCATCTTCATTCCCGGCTCCCGCTTCCTGAGCAGCGGCCTCCATGGTGACTGCCTGGGAACATGGTCTTTGGGTTGTTATTAGCAAGTCTCTCCTGACGTCACAAACATAGTTTCTTCCTATTGTGAAGGATGTCTTTCTTGTTTTCTTCTGTCAAAGTTGAGTGTTTCAGAGTTCTTGAAATAGCTCGATGTCAATGCTTGTCACACGGCGATGAATGGTACTTTCAAGTGTTTGGGGGCCTGAAAACTCACTGTCATGAGTTTTTGGGGTTGTTAATCTTCAGAACAGTCTATTAGTATAAAAAAATAATAACAGTGCTGTGAAATTTTCATTGAATTATTCCTACCAACAAGAATAGATCATTATTGTCTAGCAGCATTCATGTTGAGTTGAGTCCTTGCTCTGACTTGGCCTGGAACAGGAGATGTCAGTTATGCTCAATTCAACAAGCCCTGGAGGGTCCAGAGTGATGAAGAAAGATCACTCTGAGTGATGTTTGAGTCGAAAACGGCAGCCTCCTGACCACAGAATCCGAGAGAATTTTCCATGTAGGTAGGTTTTGTTTCATTTCTATACCTAACTCGGGAACTAGCTCTATCTAAGATTTAACATCACACACACACAGGAGCCAACGCAGACCCCCACTCTGACTTTTGGAGTGCTTGACTAAGTGTGGCGAGATGTGAGAGGGGCTGACACTAACCTGGGAGGTGATGACTCTAGGTTGAATTACAGCTAGGGGTGGGGACCAGGGAGGTGACTGCCTGAGACTTTATTTAATGCTCCTCCAGCCTGTATGCTTTGCACCTCATCCAAGTCACCTCTACTTCATACCATCCAACTCCTTCCTGAAGCAGTTGGTTTATGCTATTAGTCCATCCTGTTCATCACCTAAAAGCAGAAACCTCTTCTATTCCTCTCTTCGTTCCCCATAATTCACCCCTACTTCTACCCTGCCCAACTTCATGTCCTTTTTCTCATAAACAGTTGGGTCCAATTTGTGATGTCTATAAGCACATGAATGTAAGGGCGTCTACTTAGGCACAGGCAGACTATTAGATACCACACCCTTAAAGAAAAAATCTCTCTCTCTCTCTCTCTCTCTCTCCTCTCTCTCTCTCTCTCTCTCTCTCTCTCTCTCTCTCTCCCCCCCCTCTCTCTCTCCCCCCTCTCTCTCTCTCCCCCTCTCTCTCTCTCGGCAGCCAACAGCTGTCAGTAGTTTCTAAGCTATGGATGACAGGCAGTGAGCCCCCTCGAATCCATGCTAGAGTGTTGACTGGCTTGATCTCACATCAGCAACTGCAACTGAGATGAGTTCAAGTGCCGTGGTCCTGTATGTCCAGAAGATAGCGTTTCAACCCAGTCCTTCCTGCCCTCTGCCTCTTAGACTCCTGCCCTGCTTCCTTGATGTTTCCTAAGCCTTTGGCACAGTAGAGATGATATAGATGTCCCAAATGTGGCTGAGCACTCCACAGTCTCTTCTCTGAACTTTGACCAGTTGTGAAGTTCTGTGTTAACCACTGTCCACTGCACAAAGAAGCTTCTCTGGTGAGGGTCGAGAGTGCCATCATTCTATGGGTGTAGAGAAACAATAACATCTTGATCCTGCTCATTGGGAAGCAGAAGACAGTTTGATATTATGTCCATTTAACAAAATAGCAGTAGTACGTTCACCCCTAGGGTCTATGAGCTTCCCAGCCATGGATTCTTGACAGGATTTACAATATCAGTCTCATATCTCTACTTGTGGAGCAGGCCTGAAATCAGAAAGTGGTTGCTAAACCCTATAATGTTCATGCCACTATCAAGCCCATGGACATATCTTGCCAGACTGGTTGTTATTGTAGCTTTCCCAGTCAGTTCACAGCTGGGTAAGACTGGTGATGACTTTTCTCTCCCATCAGCCTGCATAGGACCTTGTGATAACAATTATTTATTGAATTAAATAAAGCTACCCATTTGCACCCTGGTCTCATCTTCATGATATACTAGCAAGGACCCAAGGCCTTTGGGTTTTAAAAAGATAATTTAAAAGAGATATTCTGAATTGTTACTACTAGTTTTTAAAATACCGTTACAGTTCTTAAGTGTGCATTGCCACCTCTGGTGATTATTATATTCAAATAGGTTCTAATAAAAAGAAAAGACCATTCTGGGTACATCCTCTGGATATTCCTGGGTGATACATTAATAAGAGGGCTTCAGGTTCAAATAAGCTTAGTGTCTTGAGGTAAATGTAGAGCTATATTTCTCAAAGAAAACAGACAAACAGACAAAAATGGTATATTGAAGTCCTAAGCCAGAATTTGTGAACATGGCCTTACTTATTAGGGTCTCTCCACACAATAGACATACCAAGTTAAGGCAGAGTCATACTGGTTCAGTGCTGACATTAGTTCCATGAGTGGCAGTGGGAACTTCATATCTAGACACAGAAGGAGAATGCCGTGTGAAGGAAGAGAGAGGGCATCACTGACAACCACTAGCTAGGAAAAGGCATGGGGCATTGTCCCCGAGAGCCTTCAGAGAGGAACCATGAATGGTCCAGCAAACCCTCCGTTGATTTTGGTCATCTGAGTTTCAGAACTGTGAGTAAATGAATTCCCGCTTCTGAAGCCTCCTAGTTTGTGGTACTTTGATACTGAAGCCCCAGGGCGCCAGTACAGTCAGAAAGTGCTGAACTCCAAAAACCAGATGAGTTGTGTGGCTGCAGTTGAGTTAGTTTGGGCTGTAGAATCACTCTGGCTTTTGTGTTAAATACCCTCTCAGCAGGGAAGATAATAGGCAGCATATCCCCAGATCGGCTTCCCATGGGATGAAACAAATGGAACTTTGCTGGTGTTCAGGGCTGGCACTGCACTCAGTGCCTTTGAGGGGTCTGCTGTAGCGAATCCAGGCAAGCGGATGGCTTCCTTGGTGGCCAGGCAGCAGGGGCTGAGCCTGCTGGAATGGTGAGGTGGGTGCAATGATGCTCACTTACTCATTATGAAGTTTCAGAGAATTCACTATCTCCCTCGACCTTGGATACTCCAGGACACAAGCAGAGCACCAGCACCTTACATTTGAGGCTCCTCCAGTTCCATGTGTCAGTGGCGACAAGGACTCTCCCCGCCCTCCACTCTTGTAGGTGGTTGTGTAAGTTATCTGATCTCGATTTATGCTCATCAAGGGATAGTGCACAGCACATTGGCTACCAAGCCTACATAGCTGAGCAGAGTTCATGCAGGGGAGTTCCTGAGACTTTGTATCCAAGTTTGTAGTAAAGATTGGGGTAGGACAGTAAGACCACAGGCTGTCTCTAGGCCAGGAAACGTGTCCTCTTTAGAGGGAAAAGGCTGTTGCTTCTGCATCACCGCCCTGTACTGACCTAGTATCCAGGACCCACCTGTACTAGCTGCACAGGAAAGTAGACATGACTATATTTTGTCTGCTTTCTAAAACAAGATTTTTTTCCCCCACATCTTTTCCCAGACATCTAAGAACACAT